GCACCCTGCAAGCAGCTATTCTGTGAAGATATTGGCCACATATGTAGCCATCAAGACTTTCTCTACCTTTATTTCTCTAAGTAGAAACCTATCATGGTAGCCCTCATCAGGTTAAATGTAATTACAGCAGACACTTAACATTTGCAATTTCACTATTTTCAAGTAAGTTAAAAGTTCATTTGCTGACTCTTAACTTCCCTCATGTGTAAAATATAGTCTGCTAGGACTAACCAGTTTCAATGTGACATCACTGTACATTGTTAGTCAATGTTCCAGTAATAGTTAAATTAATAAAACTTGGTTTGAAAAGGGCCAAGAAAATAATACATTTTGAGCAGAAAATTAGTTTTGTAATTTAGGGTGGAATATTTAACCTCATGGTGGCTTAGACTTATGCTGTACCTCATACTCTGTATGAATATCTGATGTGTTATATACTCTGTGTAAAAACAGGAAGAGTCCATGTGTGAATTTTTTCACAAGTGCTTCAGCTATGCAAAAGCTCCTCAAATGAGGAATTCCAGTTTGGAAAGGTTAACCATGGTTATCATTGGTTGACCAGTAAAGAGATGCCGGGCATGGAAAATAATCTGATTTTCAATTGACATAGTATCCTATACATACTATGCCACATTCACAGATGTGGGATTTATATAGGTCTTGGATTATTCTCTGAGATGTTAGGGGTCTACTGCAAAGACCAGGCAGGTATATCAGGGAGCAAAAAGAGCAGGATTCAAGAAAAATACCATGGTCAGCACACTGATAAATGCAAAACAAGACCTGCCTTCATTGTTGTGAATAGGGAATGGAAGGAACTGGAATGCACTAGAATGTGCACACCCCAACCAGAGGGCTACTTGGTGCCAGTCAGTTGCTGCCAGGGATTGTAGATCTCATGTATTTTAACTTTTTTAAAAGAAGCTGGAAGTTTAGGATTTTATGTGAATATTTCCAATAAAAACTGTACCAGTTAGTTCATTTAAAACTAACATTGCACAAACCAGATACATGTGCAAGCTAGGATTTGGCCATGACCTACCAGTTTGCTACCCCAGGCCGTTGTTTATAGGTCTCTGTCCCCTTTCAACTGTGAGCTCCAGGAACCTAGAACCTTGTGAAAAGAATACATACATTCACAGAGGGGCAACTGGATAAAGAACACATGCTCATGCTTGAAAGATGAAAGCTTAAAATGTCAGAGAATTAGCATCAATTGAAATTCATTCATTTCTCAGTATTTGTTGCATGCCCTGTTATGGGTCAGGCACTGTTGTAGGATTAGGTGAGGAATATACAATAATGAATAAACCACACTCTTCTGCTTTCTTGAAGCTTATATTCTTATGAGTAAAAGTGATAAAATCAGGTAATTTCAGATAGTGGTTATTATGAAAAAAAAATAGTGCTAAGGAATAGAACATGATGAATAGAACATGTCTGGGGAGCTTATTTTAGGGTGTGAATGCACCCCCTGTGGAGAGAATGGCACCTGAATGATGAAGCCTATCAAATAAGATTTGGGAGAGCCTCCGAAGCAAGAAAGGACAGCAAGGGCAAAAGACTCAGGAATAGATATGTGCACATTTGAGGAAGAGAAAGGTTGGTTGAGGGAAGAGGCTGGCAAGGACTGGATTACATACAGCCAGAGTCAGGGGTTTGTATTTTATTCAGAGTGAAATGTGAAACCATTGGAAGCTTTATGTATTAGAAGAACATGTGATTAACGTTTTAAATAGATCATTAGCTACTGTTTGAGAGATTGTAGCAAAGGCATACATAGAAACACTACAACCACATGTAGTTGAGGTGATGGCTGATGTAGGGGAAAGGAATTGGATGGCATATAAAAGCAGACAGGATAGCAATTTGCTGTTCCTGAACTTGGGTTAGAATTAAACTAAGCAGAGGCAGCAAAACCAGAGAACACTTGGAATCAAAGGGCCCAGTGTTTTCATGAAAATCTTGTTCAGAATCAGATCTCATTTCATGAAGTATTCTGAAACAGCTGTATTTTGAACGGTGTTCATAGGAAATGTAGAATTCAAACTCTTCTAAATATTTGGATGCTAATACTAATTTTGAATTGCAGAGCTAAAAATAGAACTCGCTTAACACACGTTAACAAAATGCTGTGAGGTAAGGGCAAGGGCCGAATAACTTGCCAAATCCCCTTGGTAGAGGAATATCTTGAATTCAGACATGACCTACAAGTCCATGTTTCTTTCATTCGAGAAACGGGACAAATGGCTACAAAGTCAGCCACACAGAGCTACTCTAGGGAACATGAGGGGATCAGGGCCCATACAATGAATACTGCTCCCCTTCCAGTTTTCCCCGTGGGGGAAGGGAGTTTTCCTTATCAAACCCCATGAACACTCTCTAGTTAAACTAGGCTCCCAGTATGCCTGTGATTTTAACATGAATCTTGGAAAACTCTGGTCTTTAAGAAAAAAGAACTTCACAGTTATCTGTTACAGCCCATGTTAAGAAATGGCTCTTAGTACCGTGAATATTATTATGAAATTATCTTGTTTTTGGAAACTTTCATGAGCTACCTTTAAGTTTTTAAATATGGCTTTGGATGCAGGTTATGGGTATTAATAATGCTGTTAATAACTGATGGTAACACTGACAATATTTAAAACTATAAAGCAAAGTTAGAACCGCAGTTAAAAGGTAATCTTTTTGATGATCACTATTTCAGAATGGAAAGCTGATGAAGAATTTCACTGGTCTTCCTTTAGGGTTAAGATACAGTCATAAAGGACAAACATTAACATTCCATAACATGAAAGGACTTGTATTAAGAATCAGCATCATTAGGAAAAAGTTAACAACTTGTCTGCATTAAGACTTAGGGCTGTAGTGGGAAAAACAAGATAATGAGAGAACGTATACACAGGAAATACAAAAAGCTGTCAAAGGTACAAGCACTAATGGATTAAGAATTGGCAACTGAAAGAAATACCTAGTGGATGAGGCAGCAGTCTAGTAACGGTTTAGAATAGCAAATAATCTGGGTCCCCAGACTTCCAAATTTCACACTATGTAAAAAAAAAAAAAAAAAAAAAAGTTATCAAATCTGAATCTGGCCAAGTGTTGAAATCTACAAGGTTTACAATACAGGAGACAGAAAAATACATCCAGTGATTTCAGAGGGTTACAATGAGCAAACGCAGAATATGAAAATTTCCTTAAGACAAATGACCCAATTTTTTTAAATTGCAAGGGGAAAAGGATGGGAGTCTGTGATTAAAACATAAAATAGATGAACCTTGCATGAATATCCCAGTTATAAAAACAAATCCTTAGAGATAGTAAGGAAAATCTGGATACTGACTGGGTAAACAAGGCATTGTTAATTTTTTAAGTATAAAAAAAGTATTTTGGTGGTGTTTAAGTCCTTACCTTTTTTAGTCTGAAGTGGTTGAGGATGAAATCAGTTGTCTGGTATTTTCTTACAAATAATAAGGGTGGGAAATAGAATGGTGAATTGGTAGGTATGAACAAGATAGGCTGGCCATGAATTGATCATTATTTCTGGAGCTGAGAGATAGGTATTTTACTACATCTATTTGAATTTCCCCTTAATAAAAGTTCAAAAATTGGTACATTAAAAAAAAAAAGTTTTTAAATTCAGGCAGAGCAGCATAAAGTGGTCAACTTCTTGACAGAAACCCAGAAAACTGTCTTAGTAGTAGCACAAAGCAAAAATTAGGATGCATGGAAACAGACACCCTCACAAAGCCACCTCTAACATACAGCTCTCAGCCCACATGCAGGTGTTCTCTGCATCTTCCATCTTCACAAACCTCACCCGTGGTGGTCTTTCCAAACAAGGGTAAGGTAGGTAAAAATTTAAAAACTTGTAAAAATTCAAGATTAATTTCTTAAACAGGGCCTTTACGGACTTTTGTCTCTGCCTTTCTTCAGTGCATGTCTTGTAAAGAAAATAAATGGGTTTCCTGTTTGGATGTAGTTTAGGCTTGTAAATTGTTTAGTTCAGCAGTATGTATTACAAAATCAAATATAGAAAGAACGCTCATTAGTTCTTACAAATATATCTGATTTAAGTAGCACACCCAACATTTTAAAATCCAAATGAGTCTTCTCTTTTGCAGTGTAGTTGCCTTGTTTGGCTTTCTACTTTTTTCAGCCGTGTTGCTCACCAGTGGTGAATGTTTGTCTTTGGAATCATCTTGAGAAGCTGTTTTTTTTTTTTTTTTTAAACATCCTTAGTGGCAGTAAATCTTCAGATCTTTGTGGGTATATTTGATTTTTTGAAACAAAAAAAATTATTTAGACCCAGGTCTAGTGGCCACGTAATCAAGTGTTAAAAAAATTAATGGAAAACTTAATATAACTATAAAATAATGAAACCTATATGGCCTTCTAAATTCACTTCCAAATTATTGGTAAAATAACTGTCAATATGCATATTAAAAATGTATTCATTTGGATATAGGACTTCTGACTTTTTCAACAAAACTTGATTTACTTTATGGTCAGATTTTACTTTTTTCAGCTAGCCAAGTCTGGGGGGCCTCATTTTACTATTCAATCCTCCTAGCCTAGATAAAATCTTCACTGTCTAAATTAAAGAAAACCTTTAATGTTTAACAGTTGGGTCTGATATACCATTATGTTAAAAGTTTTGACTTTGTTCTAGAGGACAGCTCACTTAAATGGTACCAGAAGCTTAAAGCAAATTTTAAGTACTATATATGTGCAAATAGGTTTCAACTTGAAGACTGGTTTAATGCTACAATATAACATTTAATATTACATTATTGCACAACTCCCATTGGTTTTTTTCCAAATATAAAGGCAAAGACTTTTAGAATAGCTCTCAATGCAGGTAAGAACTGCATTTAAGAATCTTGAACTATAATATATAGCTGATGGAGAAAAGGTGTTGTCAGAAAATCAGTACAGGCACTTTACTATTAAAATTTTTCTCTGTTTAATAATTTATTTAAATAAGATATTTGAAGCAGTTTAGAAAAACAAGATTTGTATTTTATTTCCTTGTAAAAATCTTTACACATGCAGACAAACCAGTGTTAAGAAAGTATTCACCATCATTTAAACAAATAACCACTTAAATAGAACAGTGTCTGCAATTTTTATCTGTATAAAAATAAGATACATTTTTACAGAACTCACCTCCAGTTCTTATAGCAATAAACAATACACAACTATAAGTACAATTGAACCTGACCATGGTTTTCAATTAGATACTGCTAGGGCATTTTAATGTGCAAAAAAAAAAAACAAAACAAAACACAAAACAAAAAAACAAAACAAAACAAAAACCCTAAAAACAACCAAAAAAAAAACCCCAAACAAAAAAGACACCCACAAAAACTTAAAAACAAAAAACCCCAAAACAAAACAAAAAAAAAAAAAACATAGTTTCTTTCCAAAAGAAAATGTCCTCAGTGTTTCTAGAGACCTAGAGGGCTTTAAGAAATCAAATCCTAATCAATTTCCTTTTAATGTTTTATGAGTCCATACATCACACTGTAAATAGGCAAAACCAGGAACTGATGCAGGCTCAAAGGAAGAAAGTCAGCGCCTGTGCCTGCCATGTCCTGAGCGACTGCCACCATGGTGCTTGCCTTTATGGGACCTCTCAAAGGAGCGAGATCTTTCACGCCTGTCCCTATGATGTCCCCTTTCATGCCTGTGTTTCTTGGCAGCATCTGAGTGATCCCGAGACTTGCTCTGAGATCGAGAACGAGACTTTTTCCTTTTATGACCATGTCTATTTGAACTTTTTAAATCCTCTCTTGTATGCTTGGCCTTAAGGTGAGGAGAACCATGATTATGATGTCGTCTTGGACTTTCACTGTGGCTGCGGGACCTGCTTCTTGATCTTGAGCTGTATGTTCCAGATCGGCTCCGCCTATTATTATAACTTAGACAATAAAAATTTGAGGTTTAGATTCAGTTTCTGCTGGGAACAGATTATTTTGGTGGTGCTTTCAACAGGTTCAAAAAACAATATTGACCTGTAGCAGTACAGGCCAGACAGAAAACTTTCACTACATTTACCCACCTCTCACCAGCTCCCGCTAGCCTGTATTACACAAATCTTAAATGTACCACATGTCTACATTCCAAAGAGAAAATTAGTAATTTTTACAAAGTGTCCTAGATAGCTATGCTTTTTATTGAGTATCTCACACATGTTCAAAAGAGCCATTGAACAGACACAAGCAGCTAGCATTTTAATTACAAAGCCAGGGAAGATTCTTTGACTCTGGTCAATTTGATTACTGGTTAATTAACAATTAATAAAATATTAATATTCTCGAATTAAACAAAAAGACTGTTTTCACATTATAGACAGGATATTATAGCCTTCCATAGCACTTTGTGGCCAGCCCCTACACTTCTTCAAAAAATGGGCAAAACCAGAACAGAATGTTAAGTTACACTACCACAAAACGAAAAAGCCACGTATAGGCAGGGCAAATTTCCAAACTCACTTCTCATAATTTAGCTCATGTTAAAAAGACTAAATCTAGCCTAACTGTGAAAACATCCAACTATGTTCAATTTTCTTAAAACTCGGCAACATTACTCCAAATAAGACTGCTTTCTCTATGAGAATATTTACTTACTGTCTTCTTGGAGTATGTGATCTAGAACGTGATCGTGTTCTTGACCTTGATCGACTTGCACTCCTGCTGTTTCTACTTCTCTTGCTGTCTTTTCTTACACTTAAAAAACAAACAAAAAAAAACCCCACACCATTATTTCAGATACATGTTCAGTGTGTTAGAAATTAAACACATTGGGGCGCCTGGGTGGCGCAGTCGGTTAGGCGTCCGACTTCAGCCAGGTCACGATCTCGCGATCCGTGAGTTCGAGCCCCGCGTCAGGCTCTGGGCTGATGGCTTGGAGCCTGTTTCCGATTCTGTGTCTCCCTCTCTCTCTGCCCCTCCCCCGTTCATGCTCTCTCTTTCTCTGTCTCAAAAATAAATAAACGTTGAAAAAAAAAAAAAAATTTAAAAAAAAAAAGAAATTAAACACATAAAAGAGTCCTTAGACTAGTTTTCTAAGTCAAATATACTCTCACCCATTATAAGGGCTTTTGGAAGCCTGTTGTCTGTCCTCAGGTTCTTTCTTGACTGTCTTCACGTTAACAGAGATTGGTGACTTCTCTTCAGCTTTCACTTCTCTTGGTGATGCTTAAAAACAACACAAAGACATGTTATCTATTGGATTTAATAGAGGGCCAAAAAGTTGTTTCTAAATGAAACTCAAGAGCACCATGCTTTCAAGTATTTGTCTATCATAAGAGAAAACGGTAACTGCTTCTTGCTTGCTTAACATCATTGTTTCTATGCCACTGTTATACGCTAAAGCTTTCTAATAACTGCACATCTTCAGTGCCCAAATCATTTCAATTCTGAATATATCTTACATGGTTTAGAGGCTGGGGAAAATCCACCAAGGGTTGAAAGGGCTGGAGTTCCATCGGGATTTAATCCCTTTGCTTTTAATTTGGCTTCTTGTAAGGCTACTTTTCTTTTCTCTACTTCTTTTTCCAACAATTCATAGTTTGGCTGGTGGAAGAAAATGAAGTTAGTAGTTCTCCCTTATACTAGTTTAGACTCTTAACACTTAAAAGTATTAACACAAACACAAGTAAATAGCTACCTTTTTTCTGGTATAAAGCCTAAGCGTTTCTATGCAAATTTCCTGGATTTCCTCTTCTGTAGTACCAAAAAGAAGAAACCAATGGGGACGAGTTGGTAATGGAATCTAAACCATAAAAACAGAATGGTTTAGGACAAATTTCAGGTTTTATTAGAACTGCTAACTCTTGTGATGTATCCTATAGCAGACTACAGGCTATATATACCTACCTGAAGAGCTCTAGCTGCAAGGTAGATGCAAGCACATGCTATAGTCTCTGGTTGGAACCGAACAAATACATTGGTTCGAAGACTGTCATTCATATAATTCCTGAAAAATATTTCAACCATAAGCTTTGTACGTAAACAAACCAGTCCTTCCGAGGCTTACATAAAATTGGAGACTCAATCTACTTTATTCTTTTTTCTTCTCTTATATTCATATCCTCATATTCTAGCATACAACAACAACTCAAAAATCAGTAAGAGATAAGAATTTAACACTGGAACCATTCTTCAGCTTTCCTAGATGTGACTAAAGTCCTTTAAAATAATTCCATATCATCCCAAATAGTACTTCTGTAGTTTTTATTTCTATGAAAAGCAATGCTTTGAAAGTCAATTTTCACATATCTAATTTCAGAAATGATAAACCACTCCAACAGTACTTCAAGCCATTAATTATTGACCATCTCTCCTTTATCCATAATGAAAAGCAGTGTCAACCAAGTTCTTTCAAAAACTCAAAATACTGTAACAGGGGTAAAAAGGCATTTTCAGTAAGCACTCACCAAATTGTATTAAGAAAACTAAGCTACTTCAGAAAATCTAGGTAGGGAAGTGAAGAGCAGTAAATATACAGAATAGCCTTGTTTACATACCTTTTTTGTGACTAAGTACAAACAAAAGCAATAAACTACTTCAGTTAATAAAGTGCTGGACTTTTTTATTAGTGAACCCTCCCCACAATATCCCTAAAGTATTAAAGAAATTCCACAAATTGTTTAAAAGGTTAAACTATTTTAAAAGGTTAGACTACTTAAAAATCCTTATCCATGAAAACTGCTTAAATGTTCTATAGAGCATATATTAAAAATGTCATGCATTTTATAAAAGCAATTAGACTTATCTAATATTACTGATATTTACTGAGTCCTAAAGAAGCATGGCAGTCATTAAGTCCAAAACATGAAAATTACTTAAGTCCTGCACATCATCAACAGTCTTGAGAAAGTAGTTGTAGCTGGACCAAATTCCTTGTTTCACCTTAAAATAAACTAGCCCTCCAAGTCAAACATCTTCATGTCAAAAGTCCAAGTTCTACAGTACTTATGGCAATATTAACATCTCTTTTAAAAATGTAATTCTTTTAGTATTGCCTCAACAGTCCAGCAGCTATAATTCATCCAGAATGGGAATGGTGCCCATTTTAAGCTGCAAGTTGTACTTTCCCCTTTGGTAGACACCATGCTATACATACTAAAAACAGAAATCTACGTCAAACTCCTAACAAAAAAAAATCATTTAATTCATAATGGCTGGACAACAAATCTATCAAAAATGAACTATTCATTTTGATAGTTACAGGTATACATTATATACACAGGCATGTTGAATAGTTACTTCTAGAAGCAAATATACAAATCCTTTTGACACCCCGACAGAACTAGAAGATGCTGCCAGATGGATATGGACCACTTCAGTGAATCTCGGATGAGAGCTTGCACTGGATTGGCTGGAGAGCAGGGCAGCCAATCAGGCCATCCTGAGGTCATGGGCTGAAGTGCAGAGGGCAGAGTTCTATGACTTACCATCATGGACTACCCTTTAATTAAAGAGTAGAAAAAAGAACAAAGTTAAATTGAGTTCTCCATTGAAAGCAATTAGTCAAGCCAAGAAAACAGGAAGCAGAAATAAGCATTATTTACCTTTTGGTTAAAAAACAAAAAAAACAAAAAGCACCAAAACAAACTCCTCTCATTATTTTGGAAAGGGAAAATGAAACTTACTTTATTTCTGCTTCTGTTTTCCTGGCTAGGAAAGAAATGTAAAAAAGCAACTTACCAGGCAGTTTGAACCAGGGTTTGATTACGTTCACATTCTAAGACTTGTAAATACATAACAATGATCTGAAGGACAAGGGAAAAAAACTGAATTTAGCAAATCAGTGGTTCTTTCAGAATACAGAGTTCAATGAATATAAGTAATTGAAATGTTAGGTGCAAGTTTTATCTCTTCTACAACTGCATAGACAATACAGACCAACCTATAACACATAGGCAGTCGGTGTGGGTTATTTATGCCACTAGATTCCATAAAAATTAGAAGTATGATCCAAAATTGCACAGGAAAAATGAGCGAAATCAATTAAAAAAAATACCTAATTTCTCCATGAACACCTTACTATGTGACAGGCACTATGGTATGAGGTTATTTCACTTAATTTCCCAGGGTACAATTCTACATGTCCAAAAATCCTACAGACTGTATGTTTTTAATGCTACACAATGCATATGATCATATTATGTAATACAGTGGATATTACAATTAAGTAATCAAACAGTATTTCTACAGTGAAGCTTATTACACTAAAGTGTGATAAATAAAAACTACATTATCAACAGTTTCACTACAGTTCAGGTCAAATCTTCCTGGACCTTTATTATCAATCATTCTAGTTTTACAATCTTGAAGATGTAGCATCCGAGGAAGAGGGATATTTGCCAAAGTCCAAGAGCTAATGGCAAAGACAAACTTCTCTCACAGAAAGTCCTATCCCCAGAGCACCCATATGGTAACCAATGGGCTATTATGATGATCATATGTAAGCTAAGAGATACTGAAGAAATAAATATTCAGACAGCGAGCAGCCACTATGCTTTGAACATTTTACTGTGTGACAGCATTCCAGGTACTTTTGCACATGTATATTATTTCCTCTTTGGAATAAGGTTATTTCACAATCTGTTTTCTGGCTAGGGAAACTGGGTTAACCACAGAGGCAAAAACAACTTATCTATGCCCACACGATGAAGGGTGGAGATCTGAACCCAAGTCTTTTTGACTCCTACTTTCTGATAAATTTCAATAACCTGAAGGATGCTTTTTAAAAACCAAGGTTAACTCTCAAAAATAACCATAGTATAAATTCATGTAAGATGCAGTTTTAGAAAGACCCTAATACTTACGAGTGTAATCTCTGCACTCTACAACTCACCTTATGGGGATGCTTGACATGAACACAAAATCCCAACTCCTTTAGCACCCTTCTCTCTGCCTTGATAACTTGATTTTTGGTGTTAATGTAGTTCTGATCAAGGATCAGGGGGCTTGGAGTCCTATAGTTTGTAAGAAATAAAATCAAAACTGTTTTGCACATCCAAAAAATTGTATTTGTGGCATCTCCATTTTCCCTTCCAACCAACTATTGGCAACAGAAACCAGCTTTTTAAACTCCTGCAAACAAGTTAAAGCATTAATCTTGTGCTGTCCAAGTTATGCTAATTAAACATACACTTTCTAAACTAGGTTTCTATAGGAACTAACTCAACCCTGTAGTGAAAAATTCATTCTAATACTTACATGTATCCTTTGTTGTTTTTTTCATGATTATCTTTTAGGTGTATATGTATAATAGAGTTAAACGGTTGATTTATCATCACAAACCTCATTAGTCTCCACAGATTTTTTCCAGTGACAAAACTAATGTGTTATTGAAAATATTTACTATAAAGACTTCATAAGATCATAATGATTTAATTCATTTTCTAAACTGTCAACTCTTGGCTAATTTATGGCCAAAGTATAAAGTGGGGAAAAAAATGGTAGGTAGCTAATTCAGATTCCCCTAAATGGACAATTTGCCTAAACAAATTTATTCTAAGAATCCATCTCTGTTAAAGAAAGTATGAAAACTAAAATTTCAGCTCAATTACATAAATAAAAGATTCAAAACTAGAAGCAATCAATAAAAAACAGGCTTAAATTTGGTCTGAGTTGTAGTTACCAGGCAATACTCTTTAGAATGCAATTTAAAAGAGAAGGGAAGACCATGATGAGGGAATCAGAACACTCAAGGTCTCTGTGCCAGACTAAATTTTGATAGCTTCAAAGGTTATAATGCAGAAAGCTATGTCTCAGTGGTTCAATGCTTAGGAAATAGCATTTTCAATTAAAAGACTATCTGATTTAAGTCTTAAATTCGAAACTGGTTTCTTATGGAGAACTTGTGGACTTTCATTTCCCATTGTCCTTCATTTGACGTTTTTAGAGCCAATAAGAAATACATTTTCATTAAGACGTGATTATATGGTGTATATATAGGGAGAGAACATTTAAAAAAAATGTTTCCCCATACTGAATTCATTTCAGCTAAAAGATTCAAGAGTTTTTGCTCTGGCAGAACACATCTGGTTATAAAAAAAGGTCATTCTGAATATTACCACTCACAACTCATTTTATCATGTACGCCAAATCCAGAAATATGTAAGATTGTATTTTAAATACATCCACTTGAATATTAGAAAACAATCTGAAATGAGCTACATTAACTACCCTGCAGTGACATATTATCTAAACATCTTTTCAGTTTCCTTCCTTCGTCCCATCTAAAATTACAGCAACAAGAATGCTTATTAGACTATTTCAAATTATTTGATAGCGTATGATTTTTATCAAAATACACTAAACAAAAAGTTGGCAAATCTGACAAGATGGAAACTAGCTTACTTAAATTAACAATGCTGAAAATGGCCTTCACTCCATTTGATTCCTATTATAGCTATGAGAAGTGTGAGGAATGAGGCCACCAACTGGACAGGGGACAGACTTCTAATATAAAAATATAACAATGAATCTGCTTTATCAGGACAATAGGCTACAAGTTAAATACTCTTTGGGGAAAAAATTAACTTCAGAGCAATCAAAGTACACATGAAAATATAACCCCAAAATCTTAAGGTTTGTAATTCTTCAGGTTTTATCATTATTACAAGAAGTTTGGAAAAAAGTCAAATCCACACCTCCGACTCTCATAACCAGTTATCTGATGGCCCTCCTTCAACAGGTATCAGGACGTAGAATATCCCCAGTTTTATAGTGGCCTGCCACTAACTCTTTACTCCCTGCAATTCAGACTGTAAACTGCACCATTAAAATCCTAAAAATAAATTTATAAAAGTAGTTTTGTCTCATTTCCCCCCATTTTGTTGATCAAACTAATCTATACCTCTTACTAAGCTTGCTTTAACAGCTGCCTTCAAATTGTGTTAAAACTCACTTTTCCTGCAATTAACCAACTACACACTTGTCTCAATAATGGCTATTATCTGATCCCCAAATCAGGCTTATTCATTAATTGAATTAAATGAATTAATTCATTAAATGAATTGTTACTTTCCATCTATTCTGCCACAATCTTTACTTTCCTTTTTATGTATGTCAAAGTCCCAACACCAAAACCAATTAAGGAAACCAAACCCATTATTTAGTGTAATTCAACTATATACTCAAATTCTTGCTTAGGCCTTCTACTAGTGGTTTTGGAAGGTAACTTTGTAGATATATAATCTGACACTTTCGTTTTGTTAAAAACTGGTTTTAAATCAAGAAAGGCTCAATGAGCATGTAATTTACAACTACCATAAAAGGATTATTTTGTTTCAGAATTTGTATCAGAAATAGAAAAATGTTTCCATAAGTCAGCAAGAAAAGATTAAAGGAAACTGTCTAAGCAGGTGGTTTCCTTACTTACAGTAACAATTTATCAATTAGTACTGTCTATGGCAGCAAGCACATAAAGTTGAATTGAAGCTTGCTAGAATTTCTTCATCTTCAATTAAGTAAACTTTCCTTTCCAGTAAGTTTCAGGAGGTGATATTCTAAATCTCTTAAAAAAAAAAATTACCTATTCAGAGAAAAAATAATTTTCATCATCAACAAACTAAACTCTACCTCCCCTGCTTTTTTATCAGATTTTTAAAATTAAATTTACATGAAAAGAACAATTTTCAAATTTTAGTCTTAATAGGAAATCTTGGGCTTTGGTCACTGGAAGTTTATTTCGTCTCTTAGAATAACAATTTTTCCTTTAGCATGATTTAGTTGAAATACGACTTAACAAAAAAAAAGAAAAAAATTCAAACAGGATATCCAAACATGGTTAGTCTCACTTATGTGGTACAAGAACCTAGAAAATTTGGACTTAGTTCTTCGAGAGACTACACTAAAATGAGATTTCGTTTATGAGGAGCCAGATTGTTGTTCAATATACAGAAAGTTGTAACGCCTACTCCAAGGGAATATTCCTCCTCTAGCAGTGTTTAAGCCAACTGAAGGCCACTACCTTTACAACCACCGAAATAAACTGAGGGAGGTTGGACTAAATGACAAGACCACTTAAGACTTCCAGTTCTTGTCTATGATCTATATACCTGCTGAAAATACCACACCATATTCACCAATGAATGGTTGCATCAGTCTGAATATTTGTCTTTAGGCAAGCATTCAGGTATACATGTGGGCTCCTTAAAATTACAGAAAATGCTTAATTGTCTGGAAATATGCTGCATCTCAAAAACAAATTAAAATCGGAAACTAATGAAATGAAAAAGCAATTTTCTCTTTCAATTCAGCCATTTATTCTGACCTTAGAAGGCAATTATGAAACTACAGAAAAATTGACGGGGGGAGGGAGAAATAATCCAGGACAGGACTTGGGCATTGATACTTTCTAAAAGCTCCTCTGGTGATTCTTACGTGTAACCAGGACTGAAAAACAATGACCTAAAGGCTACAAAAATGATGCGTCCTCTGTCATTACCAAGATCAGACTACAACTTAAAGCTATGCATAAACCAGATTAAAACAGCATCATTAAACTGATATACTATTTATCTAACTAAAATGGAATACCAACAATACTTTCTAATGGCACTACTCTAGATAAAAACACACCAAGCTGTAGTTTCTAATAACTTGGACAGCAAAGACAAAAGCTTATAACAAGAAACAGGAGTTTTTCTAAATGGTTCACCAGTGGCCAACCTGTTAGTCCCCGATTCCAGTGACCTATTCTCAGAGCACTGGCTTCTCCTTGGGGATTTTCGATACTTCACTCACTGTTGCCATGACGACAGCTTCATCTCTATGTACCACTCCACATCACCCAGGCTTTGGTAAATGTAGCTGGTCGCTGTATAGTCGGTTGCAAGGGAAAAAAGAGTTGAAGTTAATAACATATACAAGTTACGTGTCTGAGTAAACTTGTAATATGCATAGAAACACTTTTACATCCTGCTTTAAAAAAAAGGCTTCCATGCAATTAACAACTCCTTTTAAATTTCATGCTATAATCAGACTTGTAAGATTGAGACAAAGTCAATTTCTCTGTAATAATGACCAAAAACACACTATTACATCAGGCGCAACAGTCAGGTGAGATGTTTTAAATTCCAAAGTTTGTATAGTTAAGAAGACCTACTCTGATCTCAAGGAAGAATACTCTAAGTCTCATAGAAAAAGTTCAAAGTAGATAATCATTGTTAAGTTACAATACAACAGTTGGCTCAATGGTTCAAAGAATACAGACCGAAAACTCCTTTAGGCAAACACTGAATCCTCGGATTAAAAGCCTTTTAATTACTGTCAATTTGTTTTAAACACCCTGGAGAGTCCACTAAATATCTAAAAACAAATTTTAGCTCAGACCACACTAAATACCAATTTGAAATCTTCCCAATTTCCAGGGATTCCTCACCAGCTAAAGGATAGTTTAAAATAAAATACTAGTCTGTCCCTGGATGTGGTTAGGGTAAATGAGAAAAGATGGAGGAAAAAAGAACGTAAGAAAACTGAAAAAATGCTGTGGAAACTATCTGGATAGCAATGGCTCAGACTTTCTAACTAAAGGTTACTTTACTATGTCTCTGGATAGTTCCATTACTGACAACTTATCGATTCAGCCAATAAAGCCCACGCATGTAGGATACTAATTTGGCACTGACACCCAACCCCAACAACTTAAAATCCTTTTAAAACTAACTTCCTTTCAAACTCAGTACAAGTTTATCTAACATCACCACAATTTCTTAAGAAGTGAACACAGAACTAATCTATGCCAAGTGTATCCTTCTGCAGGATGTACTAGAAGTCACCTCTAGATGCAGGAAGCCTGCAACTAAAACTTTTTGCACTGCCTCTCATGAACCCAAAGGTCCACACAAAGTGTTGTCACGTAGCCACAAAATCTCCAAGACACTATTTGGTTTCTATTTTCTTCTTACAAGATCAAATAAAAACAGTCCTTATCTAAATGTAACCCAATAGTTATTTCTCTACCCCACTCACTGATACTGTATCTGACCAAAACAAAATACCTGTGTAATCCCTTTGACTTCAAACTTCAACCTTTATCCTGCAGTCCTTTCAGATCCGGTATTATGCGATATATCGTAGTTCAATGTTGAGAAGTATTCTAACAAAAGCCAACCTCAATTGATAAAGAATTAACTGGGACTTCGCGTAGAAAAACATGATCTACACAAAACTTTGCCACAATATTAACTTGAACTGCAGTGTTTACACTTCCAACCTTCAGTCTTCCAAGAGGGGAGGGAGGAAAATAACTTACAGAATACACTCACACTTGAGCCAAACGTATTCCCTTTCTTGTTTAATCTTAAACCACAGGACTGGCTTCACAGCACTGTTAGGATTGTCCATAAATGCAACTGCCTCTACAAACTTTAGATAGCTGGTTAATTGTGTTTTTTTTTCAAATTAATTTAAGTATTAGTTAGCTCCTATGTGAATTTTAACACCTAAATTAAAGCCGGTTTTCCTTTGCATCAGTTTTGAGAAGAAAGAATGTTTTGAGTTGATGATTGGTGCACAATGCAGTAGCAGCAAGAAACACTGTGTTCAATAATGCCAATCTTACCTTTTTCCTCTTAACTGGCGTAGGTGGTGAAATACATTAATCACATCTCTTATTCTTCTAGGTGCTTCTTCAATTTTTGATGCAAGATTAATACAAGCCATGGCAACAATCTGAAAGAACCCATAATCCAATAAAAAAATTGTTAGACTACAACACTATCAAATAGGAAAGCCTCTTTCAAAGTCTAAACAACTTATTCTGATGGGAGAATTTCAGGACACAACTGGGACTTTTGGTGAAATAAGAGTACGACGCACATTTCTACTCCCCATAGGCATACCAGATAATCTGCTACTATGCTTTTTTTTTTTTTTAATGCTTAACTAATCTTAATTGAATTTGATTGAAAATTGTGGTTTTTGATGACAGCACATGGGCTCAAGAGAAGCTTTATAGTTTTAAAACACATTCCAAAAGTCTACTTCTCGTGGGTGAGAACTAGGTACAAAGGCCCAAACTAACCACTCCCTTTTTAGAAAAACTGGGTGGAGACACTACCCCCTCCTCCTCGTTTCCGGATGAAGAAATCCCTTTTCACCCGCCCCCGCAGCGCTTACCTCGAAACTGTGTTTGACGAAAGACTTGGAGTAGAAAAAACGATGAAACAACACCTGCCCCGTTGCCATCGCCACCTGCAGACAAGAGAGAAGAACGGAAGCGCAGGGGTCAGGCGGGCCCGCACCAGGCGCCGCCGCCATTTTGTGCCGCCGCTCTCTCCCCCTCCCCCTCCCGCCGCGAACTGTTCGCTGCCGGGTCCTCCTTTCGCCTTGGCGCCCTCCCACCCTCGACACGCCCGGGATCCGGCTGGGACCTGTGGCTGGAGAGCCCGAGGAGGCATCCCCACCCTGCCGAGACACACTGGTACCGGGATGCAGCGGAAGGGACAGCGGGGAGAAGCGCGCTGGGCCGGCCCGGGGCCGAAGCACTGACCTGCGGCAACCGGAGGAGAATGCCGGCGGCTTGGATGAGCTCGCAGCCCAGGATGCGCAAGTCGGTCTCGCTGGGCAGGTCGAGCCCGTCCTGCATAGACGGGGTAGGGGAGAGCCGCTCCTCCGGAATCAGCGAGTGGTCGATGGTGAGCGAAACTTCCGAGTACAGGCGGTCGCCGATCAGGATCCCTCCCGTCGTAGTCGTCGTCGTGGTCGTCGTCCCGGAGCTAGAGCCGCCCGCACTCGGGGCGGCCGACGAGGCGGCGGCGGCAGCGGTCGCGGTCGGGTGAGGCCCGGACGCCATAGTCTCAGCGAGCTGCACGCACGCCCAACGCAGCCGGAACCCAGAGCGAGACTAACCAGCGTCCTCGGCGCGACGGATATTCCCGTGACCGCCTGATTCTGGGCCGCTTCACGCAGCGTGCGCTTCCGCCCTGACGTCACCACGCCCGGCTGGTGCGCGCCAACTAGTCCCTTCAGGCCTCCCCTAGGCCTGCGCCGCCCGCGAGCAGAGGCCAGAGTGAGGAGTGCCGCCTTTGTCACCTGATGACCTCTCTGCTGGGGCCACGGAGTGGTCCAGGAGGTCGTCTGTTTAGCTAAAAACAGGTCTCAGTCGCCGCGTTTTTAATATTATTAGCTACGAGAATAATAAGGGAGCTTTATCCCCAAGTTAGAGTTGGCAGAATTTTGCTATAATCTCTGCGCGATTTCGGTAATTTGTCAAGGACCTGCGTCTTTCTGCTTCTGTCTCGCCCTTCTAACTTTTAGCATTTGCGCGGCGCAGAGTCAGCGTGTACAAGAGGAGTTTAGGGCCGACCTTTGCCCTCATTGGCGGGTAGGAGCGGTTACTGTGATGTGTGCAGACTAATTTGTGATTTAAAGTGATCCGCGAGGAATGTGGAGAGGACTGCCGTACAGTATTTTTAGAAAACACTAATGTGAGCTACATTGGTTCCCCGAAAAAGCTCTACAATGAGCATGTAATTCCCCCTGGTATTCAAGTAAGACTAAGGCTTCTTAACGACAAGGAGAGCGGCTGCTTTCGCCTGTTAGCTTCTGAAACTCTGGCCTGAGCCAGTGACAGGGCCCCCGTAATCTGGAAAATCCCTAATTTCCAAAAATAGGGCGAGAACTTTACAGAGATAATTTGATTATGTCCAGGGGTCAATGTATCCATGTTGGTTACTACAATTAGGCAGAATGGAAGAAATAAATCTCATTTGTGTTTCTTCTGGGATTTTAGCTAGCGATTCCTGCAATTTCCTCATGTTTGAAGTAAAAACAGTGATACTGATAGGAACAGGTAGAGTCTGGAGTTGGGAGTAAATGAGTAGATCTTGGTTTATTCCAACTATCTTTTTATCCCACACTTGAACCAATGATACGTTAGGCTAGAGAGGAGAAATCCCATTATCTTTCTATTCATAGCTCGGGTTTAAGGCTTACTCTGTTAAATTGTGAAAAGTGCATTGAAACTTGGATCTTTAGAACAAAGGAAGTTTGAATACATTTCAGTATTTGTCAGTGATGTCATTAAAGCAAAACATATTCAGAAACCTCATCTTTAAAAAAGCATTACATCGATTTTATTTGGTAAATCCTTATATGAATAGTTCTGAACCCTGGCTGTGAATTAGAATCTTCTGAGTTTTGAAAACATATTGATGCTTGAGCCTTACCTTCAGCCTTGCCAACCTTATAGAGGTTGATGTAATTAATTTAGGGTGGGCTCAGCCAGTGTGTGGATTTTGCCTATCCAATGTTCAGCCAGGGCTAAGAAATACTACTCCAATGGAGTGTAATTGAGGTTCTGGCTAAAGCACTTAAACTCTCTGATTTTAACTTTTTTTTTTTTTTTTTTTTTTTTAGTGTTTATTTATTTTTGAGAGAGAGATAGCTGGAGAGGAGCAGATAAAAAGGGGACAATCCAGAGTGGGTTCCATGCTGACAGCAGCAAGCCTGATATGGGGCTTGAACTCACGAATCATGTGACTTGAGCCAAAGTCAGAAGCTTAACTGAGGAGCCACCCAGGCACCCCTCCTTGACCTTTCTGACTAGTCTGCTTCCAGGGAAACTTCCCTACCCAATATTCAGAAGTCATTTAAAAATAATATTAATAAACTTTGAAATCTTTAAAAACTATTTAATGGTACGCTGTTTTTCTGGTTCTGATAACCTACTATGGTTATGTAAGATAGTGTTTTGGAAGTTTGGATCAATGATACATGGAACTCTGCTATTTTTGCAACTTTTTGTAAGTTTTCAATTATTTCAAACTAAAAAAAAAAGGCTAATTGGTAACATGATTCATTGAAACATAAAGTTTCGGTGAAATCACCACCTGTATTTATAATGACTTGAGAGTAATATAATTTATTTTTAAGATATTTCTTAATGGAAATTTATTCCTCTTTAGAGGGTCTTCCACCATACCTCTTCAATATGCTGCCAATAAACTGACTTGTTGATGTCTTGATATATTTTATAATATGTTTTTACTCTCTAGATCCATGATTTTTAAAAACTCACAAGCGTAGGAGGGAGTTATGGGAGGAGATGGGGTTCCTTTTCTATTCCTGATATCTTATCCCAGTAGACCTCTCTGCTCCCCACCTCCTTCCTGTGTCTGACATTCATTTCCAGAAGAGCAGAAACACCCAGATCATTCCACACTTGGGCCTATTTCCCACTTCCTCGGACTGTACCCCCAAATTATGTCCAATAGAGAGGAGTATTTTTACTGTTCATCCCTTTAGCATCAAAAAAGGTGGTAGAGAGAGGTGGGCCAACATTTTATTTGCTTAGCATTAATTCATCAAACTGATGTTATTTTTAATTTTAATTTTTTTTTTAAATCCATGACTAATCCATAGGATGGAAAGCAATAGGTCTAGTGGGGCTGCTCCACAAGGTTGTCTAAGGATAGGGGTTAAAAAAAATTATGATTATCCTTTTCAGGGTCAAATTCTAGATAAATCATAGTTTAGAAAATTGTTATGTTATTTCTAAATTATTTTGAAGAAAGTTTGTTTTTCCATATACCTACTTCCAAAACATAAACATTAAAATGTAGAAAGACTAAGACCTATTCAGAGTTATAAAGGTTCTAGACCTGGGACTAGTAAAGCATATGTTTTAATTGTATGAAAGCATTAGTAGAAGTGCATTGAGGCAAGTGAGAGAGTTCCATTAGGAAGGTACATGATTGAGTTTTTTGTGACGCAAAAGAAAAATGGAATGGTGTATCTGTAATTTTGTATATTCTTTCAACAAACAGAGGTCCTGCTAGTAGACCTGGAGTTCACCATGTGTAAAAGAAAATCCGTGATAAAGTTGCAGTTTTTATTGTTTTAAGCATTGCAGCCTTCGTATGATGGCTCAAGAGACCAGTGGAATTATGAGTGGCCTTCCTATAACTACTGAAGAATCATATTCTTGATGCTTTGATCCGTTCTCATTCCATTAAACACTGTAGCCTTTCTGGGGAACATGTTTTTCATATTATTTAACAGGTTCTTTAATCCTAAAATCATAATTGATAAAATTTATTAATTTCTTCAGCAATCCGTTATTCACCAGTAGACCACCAGAGTTTAATAACACTGTAATTTAGGCTAAGGGCAAATGAAGTGTAAGTCCCCATCAGAAGAAGCTACACTCTTAATAAAGGGAATGATACACACAAAGCTAAATGTTAAGGTGACCAGTAAGTGCAAGAGCAGGCAGAGAAAGGATAAGTCATTATGGTAAATGTGACCAGGAGAAGTTATAACCTTAAGAAGTTCCTAAGCAAGTTTCTGTTTATAGCAGAGATCATAGAATATTTGATTTTACACATGAACTATTCATGTGGCTTCATGACTTTTTAGTCTTGTGGTTATATGACAATACATTCTGATCTGGTTGCTCTCATCATTAGTTGTTCTGAAACTGATTTATATGTAATTAAGGCTTAGGCATATACTGCTTGGTAAATCTCATAACAGCACCGGGCATTCTGCTGCTAGTTCTGCGGAGAACTACTTCTGAGATTTTAAGCAACCAGTTTACTCAAGAGGGACTCCAAGCTGGAGCCCTTGCAGGTCTAAACTTCGGTGATTCTGGTCATCCAAACATCTTGAACCTCAGACTCCTCTTTAGTTCTTATTTCTTCTTTATTTTAGTCACCTAGTCCTGTTGTTACTTCTTTCAAGGAAGGAAATTGTTCTTGAATCTTCCTGTTCTGTCTATCCTATCATATCTACTGGTATCTCATGCATGGACCATTATAGTAGCTGTCTAAATGTTCTTCTTCATTCTCACCCATTCCTCATTCAACTGGGGAAATCTCTAGAAATATCAGTTTCCTCACCTCACTTCCTCAAATAAAAACTTTGGAAATTAAAGATAGAGATCAAACACCTTTTGGAAGTTGAAGCTTTGTACAGTATAAACTTGCTTTGTCAATGATTCCTTATCAAATTACCAGCTTGCCTAATTCCCTTCCTTTCTCAAGCTCACAACATTCTTACTCTTCCTGTTAATCAAATCTTTCCAATTTTTTTGAGATCTAGATGAATTTCTACCTCTTGCCAAAGCCTTCCCCACCTGTTCTAGCTTTCATTACCTTTTCCCTTTGTTTAGGTTCCCTCCTGGCATTTATGACCTTCACTATATGTTTTGACACTTGATTTTATACTGTTACGCATTGTTACTTGATCACCTCATGAGTGTGTGTCTTGACTTTAAAAATAGGACCGTATTTGCATTTATTTTGCATTGTGCACAGAACTTGGCAGACACTGTGCCTATGGTAGATACTTAATCAGAACTTGTGGAACTGAATTGACATTTGTTTCCTCGTGCTTGGCCTAGGAAGCCTGGTTTTGCCTTTTCCTTTCCGTCCAAACAGCCAGTTCCATCCTCAGGTATCTGTCCTACCACTGTAGCCATCTCCCTAATGGAGAACTACTGTACTCCCAAATAGAGGTCCCTATTTGCCCTGTTCGCTTTGCAGCACTCAGCCGTGTTTCCACTTCTGCTCTATTCTGTGTCCTTCTTATAGTGGGCTGCTTAAGTAGCCCACAAGTTCTGTTCTATATAGGCATGAGCTACAGAACAGAATGCCTGTTGGCATTGTTATAACCGGAGTTGTGGTGCGAGGATGGGAGCTCACAGAAGGTAATACAGTGGAGTAGTTTGGTGTTTGATGTAGACAGAGGCTCAGTTTTTGGAGGTATGTCCAGAAATTGGTCATGTGTGACCAAGAGTTAAGGACAGTGCCAGTTAGATAAACTGAACTGTAAAGCCAACAAAACCATAGGTTTGCTTTTGGAGCTAGACTAATGTTAATAGTCCGATGTCTTTTTCACACAAGGAAACTAAGGTCCAAGGAGGAGGCTGCAAATGTAGCTACTCATTAGTATTTGCTAATTGCAAATAATTCAGTGCAGCCTATCCTTGGATGGAGTCATTCTTTATGGTATTTAATGTCAGAAATTGGCCAGCTAGTGTTGGTTTCAGTTACCTATTCAAGAGTAATAAGAGCTTGTTGGTATGACCTCCAGACAGACTACATCAAGGAAGTATGGCCCTGCCAACACCTGGAATTTGGCCCAGGGAAACTAATTTAGGACTTCTGACCTACAGAACTGTAAGATAAAAATTTTTGTTGCTTTAAGCCCTAGGTTTGTTGTAATTCTTCATAGCAGTTTTAGAAAACCAGCGTACTAAGAGTAGCTATTTGCTGATATTTAAGAAATGTTTCTCAAACCTTAAGATGCTCCACCTGGGTGGAGCCTACAATCCCCAATTCTAAAAATGACTCCTGAGTGATGCTGAAACTGCTAGTCCAGGGGCTATACTGAGCAGCAAGGCTTTGAGGCACATTAGATGATTTTGTCTTTTATTACTTCCAGTATGAGGAAGTAGACCCAGTGGTTAAGAGTACCGGAGGCTCTGGAGTTAACAGACTGGGGGAAAAATTCTGACACTTAATAGTTACGCAACTTTTGGCAAACTACTTAATTTGCTTAAATTATTTAGGCAATTATTTAAGTTCAGTTTTCTCATCAATAAAACGATACTAATAACACCTACCCCAGATTACTGTTTGTTAGGTGAAAGGGTTATACATGAGTTCATTTCCCAGTCCTTGGAAATGCAAATTATTTACCTGATGTTGGCCAAAGGGTAATGCCTATAATCCTGGTCCCAGGGACTTTTGGTTTGCCAGGTGTGAACATTTTGTATTCATTCATTCATTCATTTTTCACTTTTAAACTCTTATTTGTTGACAACTAAGTACTAGACTTTATTCTAGGCATTGGGGATATGGTGATAAATAAGACAGATTCTGCCTTCAAGGAGTTTGTAGATGATACACAGATATACAAGTGTGATAATTTTGGCTAATTCTTTTTTTTTAAATAAAATGATCTTTGAGATATATTATTAAGTGAATATTATTATTGAAAAGTGAACATGTATATAGCACAATATGTGTAGTGTGATCCTTTTTATATGGAGTTAACTATACATATATATGATGAATTACTAGTGAAATGAAATTTTAAGATGTTGAAAATGCAAATCTGAATACTTTTAGATTTAATAGATGTAAAGTTACTTTGTCAAATTTCCGTAACAATTTCTAGACACTGAATTTCTAGATTTATCTCATTGATTACTCATAATAAACAGTTCAGAGTTTGGTGTCAGCCCATGGGCCATTCTTTGAGTGATATTATTCTTTTCACTTTTTAAAATACTATAACATTTCTTGTATAATTGCAATTGTTTTGAAAAAAAAAATCCTAATTTGGTCTGATAACAGACACAGTAAAGAAGTGGTTCTGAGGATGGGGTAATTTTATGGACAAGCAAACAAAGAAGGTGGCAAAAAGGAGGTGATATGTGATCTGGATTTTAAAGGCTACATGGGCATTCGTCAGAAGGATAAGTGTGGAAGAGTATTTTATTTTCTTTAATTTTTTTAAATGTTTATTCTTGAGAGAAAGCACAAGCAGGGGAGGGGCAGAGAGAGAGGGAGACACAGAATCTGAAGCAGGCTCCAGGCTCTGAGCTGTCAGCACAGAGCCTGACGCAGGGCTCAAACTCACTAACTGTAAGATCATGACCTGAGCCAAAGTTGGATGCTTAACCACCCAGGCACCCTGGAAGAGTATTTTAAACAGAGGGAAAATGGGAGCCATGGCAGGGAGGTGTGAAATTGCTCGTTGTGTTGAGAAAGATAGTGGACATCTGTTGTTTTAGCCTGCTCAGCATCTAGTCTCCCTTCTTCCATTTCCCTTAGGGACCCACAACTTCTCCATTCTCAGCGTAGGTGGTTTGGGTAGGGCTGACCTCTTCCCTAGCTCACAAATCAATCAGCATTTCTCACCCCACTCCCCTTCCAGTAATTGGTTCAGGACATCAATTATGTCAAGAACTTTTGCTGTAACCCTGGCCAGAGGAGGGGAAAGAAGTGCTTGTTCCTTCTGGGGCTGTTGAGAAGGGAGATGTAAGCCCAGACTGACAGAGTACCAGTTTAACACTGGACAAATGAACCAGTTTGAGAATGGAGCCTGCAGAGAAAAAGAGCAGAGACCAGAGATAGAAACTCAATCCAAAGACTTTATGCCCTCACATGTAGCCATACCCTATCTTCTACCCCTGAGATTTTCAGTTACATGAACAAATAACTTTTTTATTCATTTAATCTTAACTGAAAGACCTACACAAGGAATATTTTGGTGTGCTAGAATAGTGTGTGTGTGTGTGTGTGTGTGTGTGTGTGTGTGTGTGTATACACTAGGGACTAAGAGGCTGCAAGGGTGGGCAGGGGCTAGAAGAGCTTAGGAACAGGCCCTCATTTACGGAGGAGCTCTGGAGGGTCTAAAGCAATGTTAAAAAGGAGTCACTAGTGCTAAGCCTACATCACCAAACCAAAACTAACATCTAACTTCATTGCAGTTTCAGTCTCCTCCAGGAATGTAATCTTAACTCATTGATCTGGAATTTCTTGGTTGGCAGTAGTGAGGTAATTTAGCTAATAGGCCCTCTTTTATCTCCCAAAGGAAGGTGACCTTGACTGAAATAATCCTTTTTTTTTTTCTTCATTTGTGACTTCCTTATCCCATCCCTTCTCTGCCTTTAAAACCTTTCCTTTTCTGTAGCTCTTTGGAGTTCCTTTCTATTTGCTAGATGGAATACTGCCCAATTTATACATCATTCAATAAAGCCATTTAGATCTTTAAAACACAGTTGAATTTTTTTTACTCTGTTGAATTTTTATTTAACTGCGGTGATTACCTCAAGAAAATGAAGAGCTATAACTCAGAAACTAATATTAAGAACATTTACTTCCTCAGGTTTTTCTAGCAGTTTCATTTTTATTATTCTCTTTCTTTCCCTCTGGTTGGGGCTAGGCAATTAAACATAGAAAGGACCTAGCAAGTCCCTGAAAATGACATTTTAAAGTGTTTTCCTTTGAAGAAATGAGAGTTGTTATTTTATTTTGAGCAATGAAGTAGCAGACTCTATTTACTTGTGTTTTCTAATAAGCAGTCAGTATAAGCAGACTTTCACTGTAGAAACTTTTAGGAATATTAAGAATCTTCTTTTCTGAAGCACCCTACTCACAGAATTCATTTTCTCAGCAGGAACAAGAAGTAACACTTCAGCCATTTTGGACATTATAACAAAAATAAATGAGCTTCACATCAACTTGCCTACATATATTTGTCCTGTTTCTTTAGTCTATAACAATTCCCTAGGCTTTTTTCTTTTATATTTTTCATGATTCCAAGTTAGTGGTTTTACAGCATGTCCCTTAATTTGGATTTGTCTGATTGTGATTAGATTGTGATTAGATTCAGGGTGAACATCTTCCCACAAACACTCCATAGATGATGTTGTATCTCCAAGTTTAAGAGCAAGGGTCTTATGATGTCCAGTTATTGTCCAATTTTTACTTAATTTTGATGGTTTAGTTAAGGTGGCGTCCACCAGATTTATCCATTATACCTTTACACCTTTTAATAACCTGTGGGATGATTCTTTGGCAATAAATAACACTCTCAATATCTTTTGTACATTGTTTCAAAGAAGAAAAATGGCCCAGTTGAAACCTTACAGAGTTGGAAAGGATTATTTCAACAAATTTCTAGTTACTACCCACTAAACTATGTCATCCTAGGTGCTACGACCACACAGTAGTGAGACTGACCAGAGTAAAACAAAGAGCAAAATACCACAGGAGAATTTGGGAGAATGACATAGACCACATTAAAAGTGAGGAAGAGGAAGTTCAGAGACAGGCAATGACTTGACCGAGATTTTACAATCAAATGTCAGAAGTGAGATTAGAACTTTGGTTTTTCTGATATCCAATCCAGCGTTCTTTTCGTGACAGCCTAAGAAGATTGTATTGTAAAGCTGGTTTTCCAGGACAGGTGTAACATTTGTTCTTACAGTGAAAACAGTTCATGACACCTTACTATGTAACTAAAAGAACAAGCTTTCTCCAGGCCCACCACAATGTGTTTCAGAGAAAATGTTATTTAGATTGATTTAAATTATGTACATTGTGACATTTAACTCCATTGGACACCTAGTCTAGTTTTAGCTCCGAGAAATGCTTCCTCATACTGACAGTGACAAACACACTTGCAGATCTGATGTTGCTCATCTGCCACACCTTAAATCTACTACGGAACAAGATTTTTCTATTCACAAGTCAGGAAACAATTCAAAGGTATTTAAATCCTACATCCTGAGAGCGCTTACAGTTGACACATAATTGCTTTATGAGTGTTTGCATACATCTCACTGGAATCTCAAAAACGACCCACTTACTCCTTAAGGTGGGAAGTGCGGATCGGTACATATAGTCTGGATTGCTAAATGCTTTGCCTTAACATTTAAGAATCTCTAGTGTATACTTTTCAGAATAGAAACATAAGAGAAATAGTCTTATACATACATTCGTTCAAGTATGTATTATACATTCATGCAGGACTATCGGCTTCAAATTTAAAAGCTGGTTCTGGTAATGAACTGTTTTAGGCATTGGTTTGGTGAGTCATGAGATTCTTTTGGGCTCAGTTTTGGATCTATAGACCCTGAAGGCCACAATATCATTTGACCTTTGTTCGTGCTTCTCAATACCGAACCTTGTAACATTCTGCGTGCTTTGGGATAAATGAATTTAATTAAAGAGTTAAATATTACATTTACAATTTTTTACATATGACTCTGGAGAGAACTCCCTCCGCCAACTGCTAAAGAGCCCGCCTTCCCGATTCTGGAGGACAGGCAGGTTTCCCAAAGGGCTCTACCGTGGGGGTTAGTGACTGAAGTGGGCTGGTCAATCGGAAAGTCCTTTTCCCCTTGCTACAAGCTTGAGCTCGGAGAAAGCTCAGCACTGACAGGGCGTCAGACAAACAACCCACCACCCCAGGCTCTCAGGCCCCGCTGAGCCTCACGGTCCGCCCAGGGACAATCGCGCCCAGCTCTGCCGCTGAACCCATGCAAGGCCTGGCTGGGCTGACGTAGGCTCCAGGCGAGAAATTATTTCACAACTGTCAAGAGGAAAGCGCGCGCCCACTCCGTCATTTCTAGGAAGGCCGGGGCCTGCCAGGCTGCGGGGGCGGACGGGAAGGACCGCACACTCCCCAAAACAACTGCAAATCCAGGGACAACCGGCGCACGCGCAAAGCTCTCTTGCGCCTGAGGTTGAGAGGCTCCCTCCGCCAGCTGCCGGATCTAACTTGTGGGCCTTCCCGGCGCGCCGACTTCCGCGCCTGAGCGGCCGTGACGTAGCCGGTCTCCTCCTCTCGTCCTCCCGCGGCGCCGGTCTCTTGTGACGTCAGCAGCAGACTCCTCTCAGTCGATATAGTGCTAAGTGAGGGGCGGGCCGGATGGGCTGGTTGCCTGCTCCTCCCCAACCTGAACTTGTTTTGTAAAGGAAACCTCTTGTAATTTCCTAAGACTTTAGATTAAATCTTTAAACTGTTCCCGTTTCCTAATAAGGGAGAAAACGGCCCTCACCCTAGTTCCAGCTCCTTCCAAGCTGAGAGTTCTGTTAGAAGTAAGCTGCAAAATGTGTTGTTATTTGGATTTATTTGGAGGCTTTTTGCTTGTTGTTTTTATGTGTTCTCTTGGTGTGTCAATTGGCAGAAAGTGACATCCATAAAATCGTAACTTTGTATATTGGAAGCTGGGATAAGCAGTACCTAGTCTGGGTTAATGAAATTAATGTAATTTTAATTTAGTTTAAATTTAGTTTCCATTTGAATTATCCAGGAGTGTCATCAAGAAAGCGTGGGTATAAAAAACGGTTAAAGAGCTTCCAGGAGTATTTAATCGTTTTGTAATCTGTTTAAAGCCAAAATGAAAATCAGGGTGTAATACAAGTAAAAAGCATTTAAACTGTAAGGGGTGAAGGTTTTGTTTTTAGGGATAGTCAAATAGACACAGAGATTTGTGTGACTTGCTCAATAGGGATGGAATCCAGGCCACTGCTTTCACAATGCCAATACTCTTCCCAGTTTGACTAAAGCTGCCTTTAGAACCCGCTGCTGGACCTGGGCATCTATTGCCACTTTTCTTGGCTTCCTCCCTCACTGGTCTTTTCCCCTTTTCCATGATTCTGGTTCTTGCCCTCTCCTCCCTTTTGCTTTCTCTGTTTAACTTACTCTGTTTTCTTGATAGTTGAATCAGCCTTTCCTTTAAATACCTCTTTTTACAAAATACCTGTAAAAGTGAGGGCACCTGGGTGGCTCGGTTGGTTGAGCCCTCCCTCCGACTTTGGCTCAGGTCATGATCTCCCACTGAGTGAGTTTGAGCCCACCTGGCCTCTGTGCTGACAGCTCAGAGCCTGCTTTGGATTCTGTGTCTCCCTCTCTGCCACTCCTCTGCTTGCACTGTCTATCTTTCTCTCTCTCTCTTTCAAAAAAAATTTTAAATACCTGTGAAAGGAAGTGGAAGGATTTTTAAAGTTTATTTTCTTATGTTAAGGGAGGTTTTGGGGGGTGCAGGTAAGTTTGTATATGGATAGATATAAAACTTCCTCTGGTAAAAGCTGCCTCATAGCTTTTTTTCATTCATAGCAATACAGTGAAAGTAGGAGTGTGTGTGTGTGTGTGTGTGTGTGTGTGTGCGCGCGCGCGCATATGTGCGTGCAGTGAAGAAAAGAGAAAGAGAGGAGAGAGGGGAGGGAGTGCTGTGGTGCACTGTTTGGAATCAGAAACCGGAGAAAAAATATATAAACAGAGGGGTGCTCTACTCAATTCAAAATGACACAACTGTAGGTTCTATGAAAGAAATACATCGTTTCCAATCAATCCCTGCAAGTGCTTCAGTAATGCATTTCCTTAGATGATTTGTGTCTTTCAAAGAGTAAACCTGTAGCTTTAGCTGCCCCAGAAAAAGTAATCCTAGGAGTTCTGTTGATCTATTTCATAAATAATGAAATAATATATCAGTGTTTCCAGACTACATGGCCACCCTATAGGCTTCTCAGTATGGTGGCACCTGTTTCCAGTTCTGCCAGTGGATGTTGTTATCCTTCTTCTACACGTGGGGAACCTAAAGCACAGAGTCCCTTGCCTACCTTACAGACCTACAATGAGACAGAACTGCTGTTTTTTTCCATTTTCTAGTTTCTGGGTGAACATATCTAGTAATATTATCTAACTTTGAACGAATAATAGAATTCACTAAAATATACCAACTGAGTGAAGCATGTTGTCTTATTAGCAATTTATTTCTTTGGTGTTTGTCTTACTCTGCTTGGTCAACAGTAACTTGCAGAAGTTGATTGGAAACATATTTTGTATATTGATTTGAGGGTAGTCCTGAAGTTTGATTTATGTGTTATTTCCCTATATTGAAAGAAAATACACTGTTCTGTATTCCATAATTTAAAAATAATTGGAGAGGCACCTGGGTGGCTCAGTCGGTTAAACATCTGACCCTTGATTTTGGCTTAGATTGTTGAGTTCGAGCCCTGAGTCAGGCTCCACATGGAGCCTGCTTGGGATTCTTTCCCCCTCTCTCTGCCCCTCCCCTGCTTGCAAGCTCTCTCTCAAAATGAATAAGTAATCTTAAAAAAAAATTGGAAACTCGAGTGCATTAACCTAAGTGAAGCAGACAAATACTATTCCATATTCACCAGGATGTACATTACATCCCAGAACTTACTCCTCTTATAATTGGAAGTTTGTATCCTCTGACCAGTTATCTCCCCATTCCCTGCCTCCTTCCACCAGCCTTTGGTAACCACTACTGTTTCTCTGAGTTTGGCTTTTTAGATCCCACATATAAGTGAGATCATACACTGGCTTATTTCGCTTAGCATAATGCCCTCAAAGTTCATCCAAGTTGTCTCAAATGGCAGAATTTCCTTTTTTCTCATGACTGAATAGTATTACATTATATGTATACACCATATTTTTGTTATATACATCCATTGATGGATGCCTACATGGTTTCCATATCTTGGCTATTGCAAGTAACACTGCAGTAAACATGGGATTGCAGATATCTCTATGAAATCCTGATTTTAATTCCTTTGGAATCAGAAGTGGGATTGCTGGATCATTTGGTAGTACTGTTTTTAATTTTTTGAGGAACTTCTCTATACTATTTTTCATAGTGGCTGTACCAGTTTACATTCCTACCAACAATGCACAAGGATTCCTTTTCCTCCACAACTTCACCAACACTTGTCTCTCGTCTTTTTGATAATAGCCATTCCAACATGTATGAGGTGATATCTCATGGTTTTGATTTGTATTTCCCTGATGATTAGTGATGGGAGCACCTTTTCATATGCTAGTTGCCCATTTGTATGTCATCTTTGGAAGACTATTCAATTTCTCTGCCTGTTTTTTAATCAGGTTTTTGTTTTGTTGTTTTATGCTATTGAGTTGAATTCTTTATATATTTTGAAAATTATCCCCTTATTAGATATATAATTTGCAAATATTTTCTCCCATTCTGTAGGTTGCCTTTTAATTTTGTTAGTAGTTTCTTTTGCTGTGTGGTTTTTTTAGTTTGATGTGGTCCTGTTTATTGATTTTTGCTTTTTAAAAAAAATTTTTTTTAACGTTTATTTATTATTGAGAGACAGACACAGAGCGTGAGCAGGGGAGGGGTAGAGACAGGGGGAGACACAGAATCTGAAGTAGGCTCCAGGCTCCGAGCTGTCAGCGCAGAGCCCGATGCGGGGCTCGAACTCACAAAGTATGAGATCATGACCTGAGCCAAAGTCGGACGCTTAACGGACTGAGCCACCCAGGTGCTCCTATTGATTTTTGCTTTTGGTGCTTGTGCTTTTGGTGTCATATCCAGAAAATTGCTGCAAGACCAATGTCAAGGAGTTTTTTGCTGTTCCCTTTATGGTTACAGGTCTTATGTTTAAGTCTTTAATCCATTTGAGTTCATTTTTATGAGTAGTGTAAGATAAGTGTCCAATTTCATTTTTCTGCATGCAGTTATCTAGTTTTCCCAGTAACAAAGCAGATATTAAATGTTCTCAACATAATGACAACAAAAACAAAGTGGTAATTATGTGAGGGGAGGGATGTGTTGACTACCTTTGTTGTGGTCAATGTTTCATAATGTATGTGTTTATCAAATCATCACATCATGTGCCTTAAACTTACATAATATTATATGTCAGTTATATCTCAGTAAAACTGGGGTGAAAAAATAAAGAGAATTAAAAAAAATTGTTGATTTCAATGAAGAATGAAAACAGAAAAAATATGATCTGTGATATTTAATCCAAACATTTATATTAGGATAAATTATTCCCATAATGTCTGTGTAATGTTATATGTGTATCCTGAAGTTTGCAATTCACAGAAGCACTGTTATTTTATGTTATTCTTCCCCCCCAAAAAAATTCTACCTTCGAGAGTAGTGATTTTTATCTTTTATATTTTTTTATATCTTTTATATATTTTATATCTTACATTTATCATAAAATTAGAAACCTGGATCCCAGGATGGTAGAAACACAAAACTTGCTTATTCCAAAAAACTTTTTATATATTTATAGGACTTTATTATTATCCTTACTATATGCACTATTTTAAAGACAAAATATAAAGCAGGAGCATTGTTGGTTTTTTTTTTTTTTGTGGCTTCGTGGCTTTTTGTGTTGGGGTTTTGTGGCTTTAAAATACAAATAAAAATAATGTCTGTATTAGTGTTTAAAATGTCAGCAATAGTGTTGACATTTTTACTGCTAGAACTATAAAATAGAGACATGAATTAATATAATCACCTGAGAAGTTAGGCTAATCAATTCTTTTATTGGAAAACTTGAGGATGTCTTTTACTAACGTCATTCATGAGATACAATTTGAAATGGGGGCTCAAAGAGCAAGGTTTAGGGGCACCTGGGTGGCTCAGTCATTTAAGCATCTGACTCGATCTTGGCTCAGGTCATGATCTCACAGTTGTGACATCGAGCCCCACAGTGGGTGCTGTCCTCCTGGAGCTGGTTGGGGTTCTCTCTCTCTCCCTCTCGTTCTGCCCCTCCTCCATGTGCACATGCCCTCTCTCCCCCTCTTTCTCAAAATAAATAAACTTTAGGAAAAAAAGAGCAAGGTTTACTGACTTTATTCTTCTATCTTAGAACTAAGAGGCTCACACAACTAACAAGTAGTTTGAACAGAAAGCATGAACTAAAGGGACTAGGCTTTACATGTTCTGAATCTCTCAAGTGGGACAACATGTATGTACAAAAATTTCTTTAGATTATTTGGAAAAACTTTATTCCAAAGTATTGTGAACTTCCATTCTGCAGATTGGAATATATTTGGATAATGAATCTGTCCATTCATACCCATATGTCTTTGACCCTCATATTCCATTGCAGTTACTTTTTCTGCATAACAAACTGACCTAAATTTGGCATCTTAGAAACAACCATTTTATTATGTTCATAGATTTTGTGGCTCAGAAATTCCATCCAAGCACAGCATGGTTGATTCTTCTCTGAGGAGTCCCTTGGGCTGGTCTGGCTCAAAGACTAGGAGCAACTACTCTTGGCTACTTTGTGTGGGTTGGCTTCCT